TTTTAAGAAATAATAATAATGTAGTATCAAAAAATAATTTGAAGTGCAGCTCAAGAAAAATACAGTAAATGCAACTTACAAAAAAATGTACTCCCTCCGTTATCAAAAACACTTCCTCTTTCATTTTTTTCTCCTTCTAACAAAATACTTTCACTTTCTATAAAAACTCCACTTTTACCCTTACTTTTTCATACCCTACCTATCACATCATACTTTATCTCTAATAATCTATCCATCACATATTACTTTACCTATCATATCAAGAACAAAATTAGAAGTCAACTACAATTTAATACTACCTTATTTTTACACAAAGTCAAAAGAAGAACACTTTTTCCAAACGGATGGAGTAGTTAGTTATGAAGTTAATAAATTAGCTCTATTGTGTAGAATAATTTATTTTCTAATTATTACCATATTATTGGTTATTTAAAAAAAACAATTAGTTTCACTCTAAAAACACTTAAATTTGGTATTTTTTCCAAAAAAATAAAATAAAAATACATTTAAAGAAATTAAAAAACGAAAAAGGGAGAATTTATCTAAAATAATCTCACCTTTCATTTATTTGCGAAAAACGGGCATTTTTCAAAATTTCCGTTAAGTGACCATTAGTTTTTTAACGGCGACCCAAAACTCGTACACATGCAGAAAAATGGGATTATTTCTGGTGAGAGTGAAAAGTAAGATTATTTTTGAAAGAGCACAAAAAGATGGGATTATTTGAGATAATTTTTCCTTATAAATATAATAATTTTATAATAAAATTTATTGATTATAATACGGAGTATGATATGAATTATCATTATAATTTTTTAAAAGTTTTTAAATCATGGCAATAATTTTAATTTTATTCAAATTTAGATCAATCTAATGAGATAAGAGGAATAGAACTTCAAAAAATGATCTCCGCACCTGAAGTGAACTCTCTCCGCCGGCGTCGGATTAGATCTCCGCTCCCCGCAAATTCTCAATGTTCGAGTGTAGAGAAGTTGATCGGCGGCGATACGAGTAGAAATCGGTAAATCATAACTTTCGATTTTATCTTCTTGTATTTACAACTGTGCTTCACCTTGGTCCGTGGTTCTAGGGCTTTCCATTTGTCATCATCCAATTTATGTTCCTTCGTGATTTCCAATCGGTTTAAATGTAAAGTATAATCCCAGGCGAGCGAAACTAGGGTTTCTTTGTGTGTTTATTTAGGTCGCACAAAGAAGAATCGAAAAAGCCTTCCGTATTGACGAGAGATTCCTCCTTTTGCGTGTTTAACCGGATCCAGAATGGATCACGGCAGCATTTTAGACACGATCGGAGGTGAGATTACCGGCGTGATGGCTCCGGTGTCCATATGCATGTTCCTGGTGGTCCTCATTGTTTACTCACTCTCTTCCACCACCACAACCACCACTATCCAGACTGCGGCGAATCTTGTTTACCTCGAGGATCCCTCTGATTCCACTTCACAGAAACTGGAAGGGGCTCTGCTCAATGCTTTGGTCTTTGTCATCCTCCTTGTCGTTGTCACGTTTGTCCTCGTGGCCCTCTACTATTTCCGCTTCACGAACCTCATCAAGAACTATGTTCGGTTCTCTGTCTTCTTCGTATTGGCATCCATGGGTGGCTTCATCTTCCTCACTATCATCCAGCACTTCAACATCCCCATTGACGCCATCACCTGTGCTATACTCCTTTTCAATTTCAGTACTGTTGGGGTCATCTCCGTCTCTTCACCAGGGGTTCCCATCCTTCTTAATCAGATGTACATGGTGGCCGTTGGAATCATTGTGGCAGTGTGGTTCACCAAATTGCCCGAGTGGACCACGTGGGTTTGCCTTGTGATGTTGGCTTTATATGACTTAGTTGCAGTCTTGGCACCTGGAGGACCACTGAAGATATTGGTGGAGTTGGCTTCAACACGGAACGAGGAACTCCCTGCTCTAGTCTATGAGTCCCGTCCTAGAGAGCAAAGGAGAAGAGCTGGTTCAGGGATTGGACTCTTGCTGGCTGGGGTTTCTGATATTGAACTTCAGGCCGTCGATGGAAGAAACGGACAATCAGTGATAAATTTCCAAAATGAAAATGTTGAGATTGTGAGTGCGACTCAGCCAGAAATTGTGGAGGATACTTCTCCACTGGTGACTAACAGTAACATGACAGAAAGGCACAATGAGGGCATAGAAATGAGTGAGATGGAGAGGGAAAGTGAAGAAGCGGGGGAAAGAGAGAGGGGGATCAGGCTTGGGTTAGGGGACTTTATCTTCTACAGCGTGCTTCTCGGAAGGGCTGCATTGTTTGATCTGATGACAGTGTATGCATGTTACCTTGCTATCATTTCTGGATTGGGATGCACACTTATTTTGCTTGCTGTGCTACGACATGCTTTGCCCGCTCTTCCCATTTCAATCGCCCTCGGGGTTATGTTCTACTTTTTGACAAGGCTCTTGTTGGAGCCCTTTGTAGTTGGCGCTTCAACAAATCTGATGATGTTCTGACCTTTGTTGTTGCACAAAAACTCTATATATTTCTCATAACAGAGTTCAGAGTTTTAGCTTAAGGAGATTGTTTATGCTTTAGTGTGGAAATGGAAAATAGCTAACTGAATGTATGATGGTGTACTGCCAATGATCTGTGTATTCACAGAAACTCTGAAGACTTGTTTCTGAACCAGTTAATCCTCTTCTCAAGTACTGGTATGTATGGGTAATGTCCCCGTCGTGTATGAACATTCGACTATTGAATTAGGTGTCATGTTAAAACATGATTTTGGTGATCATGATTACTTGCTTAATGTAGAAGGGTGCTTAAGTTATATCGTGGTTGAAATTTTTCTAGGACGAATGGTTCTTTATATGTGATTAGTTGGAGATGTTAGAGAGGATGTAATGAAAGTGCTTGGTGATCCACTTTGGATTGTGTATTAGCTGTTATGGCCAACTGATTCTCTTTAAAAGTGTTTTATTAAATGATTCTCATTAAAGTGTCTTATTAATGCTGGGCTTTGTAATGCTCTTTGGCTGGGTGCTCTGGTCTCTTTTGTGTCTGGTCATAGGGCCTTGGTGCTTTTCAGAGCTTCCGTGTTTTCAAAGATAAAAAAGTTTTTTTTTTTAAATTATAAAAATTCAAATTTAATCTATTCGGTTCCCATTTTTTACTATAAAAAAATCTTCTCTGTTTTACTCATTCTTACCCATTTTATTACTGCGTATACTAAAAACGTTGGTAATACTACATACACTTGTATAAAACAAATAATACTTCCTAGTAGTTCCTCCTATAAAATTTACTTGTCTAATTTCTGTGGTGTGCCTACAAATATTTTTTGTGGACTTTCTTCCATACTCATTTTTCGTTTTTTGTTTTTAAAAAGAAAAATAGAAATGTCCCGTCACGGTAGTAAGCAAATGCTTATGGATTATGCTATATGTACCCCAATTTGTACCCCGCAGTTTTGCACCAACATTTTGTGTTGGTGTAAAACTAATTTTTGTTAAACGCACCAACATTTGTGTCCGTGTGAATTTTTACTAACGCACCAACACTTGTGTCGGTGTAAACCATCGAAATGTTTGTGCAAACCTGTGGTGTACAAATGAGGTATATTTGTTGGTGTAAGTGTAGCATGGTCCAATGCTTATTAACGTAATCTCTAGGTGCACCAAATGCACGGTGCACCTCGGGTGCATCAAAGATCTTGTCTTGTTAATTAGTCGTCTATTTTTTGTATCCAATAAAAAAAATAATACTAAAACTGTCCTAATTATCATACAGATTGGGTTTGAGCATTGTTGAATGAGTAATAAATTAATCTCAAGGAGTTACGGACTACTCGTATCTGAACTTCTAAATTCATTTCTTAAAAATGAGATACATTTAAAAGTGAACAACTAATTCCGATAAAGGGAGTATAAGTTTTTATTCTTCTTTTGTGGATGTCCAAATAAAACTCTGATTCCTTTGAAAGAAAAACACAGTATATATAATAGATGTTATTTTATTCTCTAAAAAATACTACGTCCGTCCCATTTTATAACGCCTGTTTCGGTTTACGATGTTTGACTGAAATTATTTTCAAATCATTTTATATGACAAATGGTATAGAATTAAAAAATAAAAATTACGTATTAAAAAACTACATCAAAAGATCTACAAAACTAGTAGTGACAATAATATTTTATTTTATCAAATTGCTAACGAAAATAGAGAAAGAAAGTGAATGAAGTTTGACCCTGTGAATAGTAAACATGCATTATAATTTGGGACGGAGGGAGTAGAAGGGAAAGGGGAAGGGAAGAGGAACTACATCTTTGAAAGGGAAAGAGAAAAGAAAGTAAAAGAAAAAGTTGTAAGTATCAAGTGCAGACTCCATCCTTTGTCCAATATATAATTAAAGCTCAATTTGTTTATCTCAGGTGATCGTCTCATTGATTTTGAAGTAATTCCAGGGATAGAGTTCATCATTTTTTTAAAATGTCTTAAAAAATTTAAAATTTAAAGATAAGATGAAGTAGGTTTGTAAGTTCCCAGTTTCATATCTTTCTTCTCATTTAATTTTGTACACTCTCCAGTATACTCCCTCCATCCTATAATGATCTTCCCAGTTTGGTTTACGAGGTTTGACTGAAATCATCTTCAATTCAATTTATTTGTTTATAGCTATAAAATTAAGAAATAAAAATTATACGTTTTAAAACTACATCAAAAGTTTTACAAAACAAGATGTGACATGGTTATATTATTTTATCAAATAACTAAACAAAATAAGTAAAAAAAGTAATTAAAGTTTGACCATATGAATAATGATCGAAAAGATCATTTTAGGACGGAGAGAGTAACATTTTGATCATCAATATAACTATTTATATATAAATATAGAATATAAAAACATGGTATTTCAAAACTCTTGATCAAAATGAGTCTATTTATATTAAATTTATATTTCAATTCAATTTATTTTTCTACAATTTTTTGTTAAAACTTTAACCATAAAAGTTAAACGGGGAAGAAAGTGATGAGATAGAGTGGTGAGGGAGTAGTATTGTGGAAAAAGGGAGGAGTCACTCATTTTACCACAAAACTGTCTGTCACTTTCCAGTTTCCATCGTTCGATTGTGAGCGGTGACTGGGCGTTCCATCGTTCGATTAGCACGGAAGTCCTATTATCCACTTCTCGTTAAAGGCTCCTCCTTATCCACAAGCTATGGCTGCCGCCGTCCTCTTCTTCAACGCCGCTCCGACCACCGTTTTTCTCTCGTTCCACTCATCATCATCATCATCTTCTCGGTTGTCATCTTCTTTGCTCGCTGCTCACCCGCGTAAGCATCTATCTAATTCCTCTCTCATTTGCGTTTTAGTTTTTGTCTCATTCCCGGATGCCAGAAATTTCCCCACCCACGAGTACTTCTTTCTGTTCTTACTGTTTATTGGTGATGTTTTCTGCTCTATGCACTTTCTCCTGAGTGTTTAGTGGATTTCTATTGATTTGTTCTGTTCGGGGAGGGGTAAGTATCTGTTACTCTGTTAGGCATTTCATCGAACACCTGGTGGGTTTGCAGCATTTTCCCCTTGCTGTTCTTTCACTCCAGTTGGTTTGAAATTTTCAAGAGATTGTAATTGCATCGATCAGTTTGAATGAGTAATGAAAATTAGGAGATGTTGAAATGCTTAAAATTTAGAGGCAGATGATGGAATTAGAAGGCATGAATTGTAAATGGAGCTAAAAGAGTCATTTTTCCCAATGTTTTAGTTCTAGGCAAATAATGGACTATAGGCTTAATTGGGAACGATGTTTTCAATTCTCGTTAGTGTTCTGGATTATTTTTTAACAGTGCAGATTAATTTTGAAAATGTTAAAGCTAAACCTTACAGTTAGATAGCTTTTTTAAAACGTTAAAGCTAAATGCGGAAGTTGTTGTTAAACAGGCACTATATCAAAACGGCACATTAAAGTTCTCCTCTTACTTTCTATGACGTTCGGCTCGTAGATTTATCAATGCATCAAGGGTCAAACAAAAACTTCTTTTTTTTTGTAGGGGTAATATCTTTTCTAAAGTAAGACCCCAACATAGTTGAGACTATATTGTGTTTGTTGTTGTATGATTTAATTAGGGGGCTTCATTCCCTTAAATATACCTAAAGTACTCAATCTGAGTAGAATATCAGATCATGGCTTATCCATTTCACTAACTTGTGAACCGTTGTAATTGGCAACAATTAGCCCTTAGATTTGATACAACTTGTAATGTTGTGGCATCAAAGTCTAGCATCTATCCCCGGATTCTTGGGCCGCATTTTCTCAAAGAAAGAGATGCATTGGTTACAAATGCAGCAGCTTCCACTGGGAGTGTGGATGGGAATACTCCAGAGCCGCCACCTGAAATTAGGGAGGAGAACGTGTCCGTTGAGAACCTCCCATTGGAGTCCAAGGTTCAGGAGAATCTTGAGCAGAGAATGAGGACGAAGATGGCAAAGAAAATTAGGATGAGAAGAAAGCGGCTACTGCAGAAGCGTCACTTGAGGAAGAAGGGAAGATGGCCACCTTCAAAGATGAAGAAAAACCAGAATGTTTAGCCTTTTTGTGATCTTCCTATCAAATGTTTTGTTCAATGTGCACAAGGAACTAAAACATTTTCTTTGTTCTGTTGATCGATTTATATATAAACTTCTGACAATTGTATCTCGTGAGTATATTAAGACATCTCATTGGTATTAGCGGGAGTAAATTGCACATATTGTTCTTTATAACATGAGATTTTTCATATATGGTCCTTAGTTCGAGGATATATTATACTCGTGGTACTCACTATTTAAGAACTATTATCTCCGTCCCAGTGTATTTGTCCAGTTCGACTTTTTTTGAGTCACATTGGATAAACTTTGAGTTTCAATTACTTTTAACTTTTATGACATATTTTTTTAAAGCAATATGACATATTAGTATAATGAAGTACGAAGTACAATTTTAAAAGTTTTCAATAAAGATGAATTTAATAAAATTATTTTTTTAATGCTAAAATATATTACGGTTTTTATTTAATTGAAGTTCAATATTGATGCAATTTGACTGTAAAAAATCAAACTGGAAAATACACTGAGACGAAAGGAGTATTCCATAGTTAGTTTTTTAAGGATTACATATAGAAAACAGTAATGGAGTATTTGGGTCAAAGGATCAATTATGGAATACTCTCAAATATAGAGAACCATGAATGTAATATCTTAAAATTGGGAAGCATGTATAGAAAATCTCTATGTATGAAAGATGATTTATGAAATTTACTCTTATTCTTACATATATTTCTGATTAGACCTGACAAAACAGAACCGGAACCGATTACCCGAACCGAAATATCCGAAACCGAAACCGGAATGACCCGAAAAATGGAGATCCGATCTATAACCGAAAACCCGAAATGATCCGAATCGAACCGAAACCGAACTAAATAATTCATATCCGATTTAAATCCGAAATCGATTAGATCCGAAACCGATAATATCCGAACTGATTAAACCCGAAACCGAATAGATCCGAACCCGATAATACCCGAAACCGATAAAATCCGAAACCGATTAGATCTGAAATCGATAATATCCGAACCCGATTAGAACTAAAATCGATAAATTCAGAACTATGTTTGCCTTTCAATAAACATATTATATTTTTTAAATTTTTACTTTTATTTTACCATTTGAACTAATTACATTACTTGCCCATTTCCTTATAAAATTGATTATCTTCTTGAAAAAAAGTACAAAATTTTATGTCTTAAATTTGTTATATGTAGAAATTAAAGATAAGTTATACATATAAATGATAACGCACAAATAAATAAAATTTTCGTAATTTTTAAATAGTGAAATGTGATATTCTTTTTGGAACGAAAGGAATATATATGATGAATTGTATGGAATACCTAGATTTTATCCTAATTTCATCTCATTACAATAAATTTTATTGATTTGAGAGTTAATTTGATTAGTTTCAAACCAATTCACTCAATATTAGTCAATAAAATTAGATGTTGGTGTTTGAAAAGACTCTCTAGCAGCAGCCTTTACTGTTATCATTTTCAAATTGATCTACACCATTACATTTAGGTGTAAAATTAATTACGTAGCATATTTGACTTTATTAAATTTAATTTTCTCTATTTTCAACCAAACATACTCAATAATTTACAAATTTTGCACTCAATTGAATAAAATTCACTTAATTTCACCCAATTTTACTCAATTTTTACCACATTGTATTCAAATGGAACATAAGACTATTTGAATTTATCTTTTATCCTTTCATTTATGTACATAAGTATGTTACGGAGTAGTAGATGTGAGAAAAATTTGATATTTCAAAACTAAATTTTAAAATCAATTTAATTATATTAAATTTATATCATAATTAAATATATATGTTTTCATAATTTGTAGTCCAAATTTGTAAAATATGACTAAAAAGTCAAAAAGGGAAGATTATTTAGGGTAGAGATAATATAACTAAAAAAATATAAAATAATATGAGGTATTGAATTGATGATAGATTAATAAATGTGATAAAACATAAAAAGAAACACAAATAGTTAAATTTTAATTAGAAAATAATATATATCCAAAATATATTTGATCCGAAACCGAAATATATCCGAACCGAACTAGACCCGAAACCGAAATATATCCGACTCAAATTGTATCCGAACCGAAATTTATCCGAACCGATTTATAACCGAACCGTATCTGAACCGACTCGAATCCGAACCGAACCGAAAAATGTATAGAACTGAAATCAAATCTGAACCGAAATTTAACCGATCCGAACCGAATATAACATATAACCAAAAGATATCCGAACCGAAAAAATCCAACCCGAAACCGATCCGGTTGATCCGATTGCCACCTCTATTTCTGATACTTGCAGAGAGTCCATTTCCAAACAGTAGGGGGTATTTCATTTGTAGGGTTGTGTTACGTGTATACCACCAACTTGTATACCATTTTATACATCACATATAGACAAATATTTTTTGTTCTCACAGAAATCCGTCTTGTTTTGTGCTCGCAATGTCGACACCTCAAGGGCAAGACAAGCGTCCACGAGAACGGAAAATGATATCCATACATACAAAAGCATATATTTCTATTTTTGATAGTGGTTGATTTATATATACACCATCATTATTATAGTTTCACCATGTTATGGAAGGTCAAAATCATTAGAGGACAATATTTCACTCATGAGTTTGACCAGGTTTTTGATGGAATATATATGATAAACAAATAAAGAGGGGAATTTACTAATGGTGTACCCATTGCAATGCCATGGAAGCATATGTACATTTTGTTGCCATTTAGAGCAGAATGAGTGCATCACTTTGTTTCTCTTTCCCATCTGCTCACTTTCCCATATGTGAATAATAATAATAATAATATATTTAGAGCATATATTACATCAAAGATTAGGGACTTGATTAAACCAATGTTTCATTCCTGAGAATATTAAACTTGCAGAGAGGGCATGTCGCATTAATCCGAAGCCATCTACAAATGCACCCGTGGTCGAAATGGTGGTCGCACGGAAGCCTACACACCTCTGCTCCTTCACTATATCTATTCAGGCAAATGCAACACTCCTGAAACGTGACATTGACAAATTGATCAGGCAAAATACTGAGAGAGAAAACAAACATATGTGTATAAGCATATTTTAAAAGAGTTCAAGTGCTACGTAGTATGTATGTAACACCCTGGCCCCACCCCGGGCCGAAAGTGACTATTCATTGGATTGTATACGGGCCCCCACAAATCAACGCAAGTCTTTCTCGCGCACTTTGGCCTGAAACCTTACAGGGGTTCGATCACCCATCATAGAATTGCTCCAGGCATGAGTAGTACTTCCAATCCTTTTGAGCTTTTTCTGTTCCATCTCATCTTATTACATGGTATTACAATAGAAGATAAGAAGAAATGGGGTTGATGCTCACGGAGTCGTCTGGATTAAGAGAAAGCGTGGGCACGGACAACGCTTCTTCCAATGTCATCTTATCAGTGGCATTATTGGATTGGCAATATCTGTACTTAGGAAGAGCCGTGATATCATTTTCAGATGCTCCCTCTCCCAATTTCATTGCATATGCAACCGTTGCTAGAACTGGAGCGCAACAGAATAGAGCAATGAAGAGCGTGAATGCCATTGTGAAGGAAAAGATCACAAAGAACACATCGAATGCCAAGAAAATCACGGACAGCCTGCAGTTTGAAATTGGTTGTCAATGTCAAGATGGATAAAACAGGTTTCGAAGAAGAAGCTGACAGTGTAAAAGCATTCTATTGTTCATACCAGTAAAGATAGGGAGAATCTTGGAGAAGTGTTTGGCCACCCATTACAATCCCATAGAAACCAAAAACCCACCAGACTAATGAGACCACTGTATTAATTGACTCCAAATTCTTTATGATGCTACAACAACAACAACAGCCCAGTAAGGTTTATGAACTATCCCTTAAAATCATGTTCTACCATTCCATATTAACTATTAAGAGTGCTCTAAAAGCATGTTACACTGCATCTAGGTGTTAGAAATTGGGTTCAACCAGTTCTTAGTTGGGCTTATGCTTAGCATAGTTACAGGAATCGAACCCGGGTTTATCCGTTTTGGATTCCCTGCCTAACCAACAAAAGGAAAATCTCTTGCCAAAAGACTAAAAGTGGTGAATGGAAAAAAAGGGGGAGGGGTACCTGGTGTGACAGAGAGGAAATAAGGAGAAACCATGAAATTGGAGATCATGAAAGCTGATCATCCTCTGATACTCAACCCACACAAAACCCACTTGCAAGAGACACTGAAGGGCATACCCACAAACCCATAGCCTTAGGGGGGCAGATGGCCTCTCTCCTGTGGTGCTCACCAGCATAAAAACAGACACCGTAGCGAACGACAAGTTCCATATCACATCAAGAACCAGAAAGGGTCTTGAGTACCCACAATCCTCCACCAACCCATCATCATCATCATCATCATTCATAACAATGTGGTGGTAATCTGATGAGGAAGATGGCATTCTGTTTGGGGTCTCTCTTTTTCTTCCTTAATTTCTTTTTTTTTCCTTCTTCCCCTTCTGTACTGCGAATTATATGTGTTTGTGGTGAGAGGAGAAGGAGAAAGGAGTGGGTGGATTGTACTGGTGTGGGGGCTGACTAATTTTAGGGCGTTGGCTTTTTGGGTGGGAACTGGTGAAGGAAGTAAGGAAAGATATGATTTCTTTGGGGGGTCGAAACTGAGGAAGAAAACAAAACCGGCGAACTAAAAGAAGTACGGTTGGAGAAGTGTGGGATTTGGCATTGTCAAATACGGGCAATTGGCGAACAATAAGTTCGTTCCACAGCTTTGAATTCAACAAATTGAAATATTTACATTTCATTCTTTCTCCATGGTGGGTTATGTCTCAATATATACCCTAAAATCGGTTGTACGGTATTTCTCGTACATCCGCGGTGACTATTCATTTACGGTAACCGAATGCTCATTTTGAGCAATTGAAATATTCATTTTCAAGTAAATGAGTATTCATTTTTCTAGAATTCAGTTAATAAATCACCGTACGTAGCACTCTAAGTCACTCAATATTCAATATCTTCCAAGCATATCCTCTACCTTTTATTATATTCTACTATTTTTAGTTACTTTTAATTATTTGATTAAGTTTAGGTTATTCACGTAGCCACTCCTCCTCATAGCTCCTCCTCATTCGTGCGTCTCATACGTACGAGAACATCATCCTACACCGTTTACCATAGCTCTGCGAGATCCTCCTACACAGTTTACGAAGGCATAATGCCTAAACACTTTCGTACGTATTAAATTAAGTTCCATATTTAATGTCCATGTTTGACCAGCGTATTTTGGTGTAATAGATTATTTATGAAATCAATCATACATTTTTGGACAGTGTGAAATTCATACATGAAAACAATCATACACATTTTTAACAGTGTGGAATTCATACATGAAAATAGTATGGAATTTATACATAAAAAATGCTATACATTTTTTGGACTGTGTGGAATTCATAAATGAAAATAGTCATACACTTTTTGAAAATGTAGAATTTATACATGAAAACACTGCCACATAAATCAATGGACATTACACTCCAATATGAAATTAAGGAACACAATAATACACTTACACACTGCCATAAGATATAACAACATATATCCATTTTACACTGCCACATTAAATACTCACATATAAAAAAATCACACTATCCACTACACAGTTACAGGTGAACAACCACACTACCCAAAACAACCATATTTTTTGGTAGTGTGTAATGAATATTTGCTATTTAATTAAAGGACAAAACCGGAATCATAGTTACGAAACATATAACACTGCTATTTAGAGTATTTTAAGGCTCTAAGAGTGCTATTTTGGATTTTCTCCCAATTCTGTTATGGTAATAAATGAGTATTTAGTTACTCGAAAATGAGTATTTTATTATTCGAAAATGAGTACGTTGTTACTCGAAAATGAATAATCAAATGGATGTACGAGAAACAATGTACATCTGGATGTATGGTATAGGTTGTAACACCTAATCCGTCCAGGTCTGCAGCCCCTTTTAGACAAACGTATTAATTTGGAAATCGTAAATATTTAAAATATTTCAACACCTTTATTCATCATAAATATTATTCAATACATAACTGTAGTAAAATACGGAGTGTTTAATAATAATGCAAAAGCAAATTTAAATCATGTTTCATAACAACACAACTATTCATTTAAAATCATAAATTCTACCACGACAGTCTCGCCCCTTCCGCTGCCACGAACATGCCAATCACTCATTTTGCCTACTTGCATGTAGCAAATAAAACACACAACACACTCAGCGATGAAGCTGAGTAAGCATATCTAAAGCGTCGAACATCCATATAAATTGAATCTCAATTCACAAACAACCATTTGATATCATGCACACAATATATTCATGATATTTTCAATATTTTCATTTCAATATCTCAACATTCAATATTCAATATTCAACAATATCCATAAACTATGCTTAGTCTAAGGCTAATCTTTTTGATGTTTACCAACTCTTAAACTAATTCTAGTTTAAGGTACTTATATCCAACTCTTAAGCTAGATCATTAGTTTAAGGTACATATATTCCGATTGATTTACCAACTCTTAAACTAGCCTTCGCGTAAGGTACAAATCCAGAAAACCGAACAGTAGAATACTAACTGTCGGGTTGGGTGGTATCCCCAAACGAGTACCTCTAGTTTGGTTAGTAGATCCCGTACGTACGTTTTTACCCAAAGCCACTCAATATACATATTTATACCGCAAGGCCCAATCTAATTTGAGGTCTATCTTAGAGGTCTTCTAGATAGCCTTAACAATACAACTCATTTTTCATTAATTCATTTATTTTGAATCTTAGTTCAATAATTCATAATCATCATTTCATTCAGAATAATTATCATTATTAATGCATAATATTCATTATAATCAACAATCAACCAATCATCATAATATCTAATAATAATAAGCGGCCTAGCGTTGAGTGTTAACACCCTAGCTTACCGTCATGCATCACGTAAAGTCCGTTTAGTTGTCAAAACACCATTTTATTCCAAGAAATCATCTTTATATTAATCATAATTGATTGGTATCAAAATAGGATTTTTGGGTTCAAAAATAACATTTTTAGAAGTATTTTCGGAGCAGACAAGTCGGGGGATCGATCGAGCACTTTGGATCGATCCGCCGTAGAGAAATTATTCTTTTGGATCGATCCAGGAGGGATGATCGATCCTCCCTGGGTATTTTCAGCCACTGTTCATCGTCTTCTACCTCACGACTCCGATTTCGAAAATTCCATTTTTAGTTACCAAACTTCAATTAAACTATATAGAAATGTTTTCCAAGGTTTGTAGATCATTTTGGCATCATTAGTTTATGATTTTAACATCAAATTCAAGGTTTATGATTCTTGGTTCTTCAAACATGTCAAACACAAAACTCAACCAAACGACCGTTTATGAACGTAGAAACGATCTATATGAACATTCTAGTCACTAGATATATCTACGGACTTACCTCGAAGCTTAATGGAGGTTTTGAAGATTTTCTAGTGAAACTTCCGGCGGCGATAACTCTCTACTCCAGCGACCTCACACCAATATGACAGCACCACTGCGTTCTCCTTACTCCAAGCAACAGAATAGATATAAGGTTTGTGAGAATTGGTGGAGAATTGAAGGGATGAAGGTGGTCTTTATATAGGGAAGAAACGGAGGAAGAGGCCATCTCTGCTGATGATAGTTTCCCTGTTTCGGCGGCTGAGTGGAGCGGGCTGTTATCTTCTCCGATTCTAAACGTAAGTCCCTGATTGGGATTAAATTGGTCCCACTCAGGGAACACTTTTTTGTCCAACTTTCTCCAAATTAAAATCTGATTGAACCGTTGGGATCAGACAATTAAACTCTACATAACGATATAATTTTCATTATTTATTGACAATCTTTATAAATCACTTATTTTTGGGTCCTTTTCAGTAATTAATTAATTATCACTTAATTAATTCTAATAAGCCCATTTTTGGGGCGTTACATAGGTACTCTTGGTTACATAGGCTATGTTCTTTTGAGCGTTAACTCTTTACTTCTAACATTTTCAAACTTTTTCAGTTTCTTCCAACTCCTTCCAATTTTTTGTATTCTTTCTAGTTTATTCCAACTTCTTCCAGTTTTTTCTTACATTTAATTCTTTCAATTCCTTCCAGTTTCTTCTAATTTATTCCAACAAAGACTTAAAAATATTTAGGTTTATTTTCATATCTTATTATTATATTCTTAATAAAATAAAAAATTGATCTAGTGTTACAATTTATTAAAAAGTTGTATTGAATATAAAATTTAATTACCATTATAAAGTCACGTAAATTATTAAAATCTTAAATGCATTAATTTATAATTTTCTTTCTGATTTTGAAATTTTCATTAACTATGTTTCTTTGAAATATGTTCTAGTCAACATTTTAAAATTTTGAAAAAATAAGTGTACACTCTATTTTCTTTTATTAAACATTATATAATTTTTAAATGTGCATAAACTAATATTTTTATAATTTACATGTTCTAAGCATTTGAAAAATAATATATGTTCATACATTATTTGAATAAGCAAAAACTAATTGTGTAAAATTAGTATTGTATATTTCTTAATGTGCATATGTCAGATGTATACTAAAAACTACATCTGTTGCATAAAATTCTCTATTTGAGTTTTATAGAATAAAAAAAGATTTAAAAAAGTTAAAAAACGATTGTTTTAATATTTCTGAGACATACGAAAAATAATGTGCTGAAAGTACGGGAATGAATTGATAATTTCTATTATGCCCTTTTTTCTCAAACTCTCACTATTTTAGAATAGTAAACTTTTTCTAATAAAAAAAGAATATGAAATTTTTGGAAATAAAAATAACTCGAACCTTGTAAGCACTAACCATTAACTAGATTTCAAATAAATTTACGTCATTTTTATGCCTTTTTTTCTGTTTCCCTCCTTATTTTAGAATAGTTAGAATATTGTAATTAAAGAAACAGAATAGGAAACTTTTGGAATAAATACAACTCAAACCCTTGTAAGCTCTCACCCCTAACCAAAGTATTCTTGTGTTCCTTGCTCTAATTCGGCATTCCAGATTCATTCGCTAAAGAAATTTTTATGTAAGTTTTTTGAATTATTACTCGAACTCTGTTGTTTTGGTATTAGAATTCTTACAAGTGATATATACTCTGTAATCATTACTCCATTAGTAATTGCAAATTTTTACATAATTACATAAAAATATAAATTACGTTGAATCATTATTTTCTAATACAAAACTAACACTGTCTCGGATCGTTTTTGTAAATATTTTGATATATAAAATGTGATGTAAATTAGTTTTGTTTGGTTGAGACATTGTTATTTTATTTAAGTCTAGTTGTTCTTTCAACTAAGATTAATAAAAAGTGTTGCTTTATTTGTCTTCTTAGTTTTGTTACATGGATTAGTGACATACAACTGAAAAAATAAAAAATTATAAGATTAATATTGATTTTAAAAACTAAAGAAGGAGTATGAGTCACAAAATAGAAATATAATTTCGGATAAAATATAATGGCATAAAACAAATTAAAAAGAGATTAACATTTTAAAAAGTAGAGTATACATTTTAAATAAAAAATGAAATTTATAAAATAAAATAATTATTTTAACATTTTTTGTTATTTTTAAACTCTACAAATATTTCCAACTCTTTCAAATTTCTTCTAACTAATTCCAGTTTTTTCCAACTCCTTCCAGTTTTTTCTAACCCTTTCCAATTTCTTACAACATCCAAATTTGTTTTTCCAACCGGAAAGAACAGACCTATATTCCACAATGATATGTCAAGTGAAAACGGATTGATTTTCAATCAAATTGCTTCATCCACATCCATCAACTAGGTCTTGATCCATCATCCAATCCATACATAACTTTTTATACACATCATATGCTAATACATTACGGGTGTGTTTGGTTGGTGGGAAAATGCATTTTAAGAAAATTTTGATTCAATTTTCGGATGTTTGGTAAATTTAGTGAATGGAAAATACTTTCCAAGAAAAATATTTTCTTCCAATTAAGGGAAAATAAAAATATTGTCTTCCAATTAAGGGGAAATAATTTACTCACTAATGCATCCAAACTCATGGTCTTGACATCATGGGTTTGTGTGATTTCTTTCACATCCATAACAAACTTTTTATACACTGAACACAACAATTTGAGAATGAAATTCTGCTCTTCAAAAGGTTGCTCCAATCTTGCAACCTCGTTTGATCTAGTTTGATATTTCTTTAATCCTTATATGAAAGTCAGTAATGCTCTCATCTTCTTCTATTTTAGATTCTCAAATTGTGTCATAAGAATCTTATACTTTGCAGTTCTAACTCTTTCATCTCTTTCATGAGTGATTTCAATAATGTCCAAAGCGTCTTTAGCAATAGAAAAATTTGAGATAAGTTCTATTGAGATATCCACAGCTCTAAATTTTATATTAAGATTTAAGAGCCTTATCGCTGAACTCTACTCCACCAAGTTCTTCTTCAAAATATATTATTCAAACAATATAATGTTTCAGCACTCAAAATTTTTAATTAGCATTCGCTTTCATTGGTTCAGCTCAACATGTTTTAATGATCCTCCAAAGTCTCATACATTGGGAATTTAGAAAAGCTCTCATGCGACCTTTTCCAAAAACTGTTGTTTGATCAATGCAGAAGTGGTAGCCGTTGAATCTTTGCACCTTCTTCTACGTCATCCATGGCTACGATTGAATCAAGCTAGGAAATTAAGCTTGACCTTCTCTAATAGTTATTGAAATCTTGTATGGCTCTAGAGATTACCTAATTAAACTTAATGTGCAAGCAAAACACACCAAGAAGATGTTATAAGACTGATCACATGCACTGATGACAGACAAATTTCTATATCCTCTTTTGTGTCACAATCCTACACGTAGGTAATATAAAACATTAAAGCAGTAAACAACACAAAAGGTTATTTACGCAGTTTGGAGCTAATTCTTCTACGTCTATAGGGCCCACATTTGTGTAACAGTCCTTCACTTAACCAAGAATGTCTCCTTGACAAAATCTACCTTGCGTATGCCTTTTAACTCAAACCCTGTTTGAGTCCAATTCAATTGCTTCTTACACTTTTTTCGAGACCTTCCAAGGACATGCTTGTAGCCCTTATTTAGATAAACAAGGTATTCAGCTTCTGGACAAGATGACTAACATAATCGTTACCAACTGTGAACTAGTTTGTCGTGTAGTTCCAAGATTTCCTATGTGAAACTGAGCTTCAAAATATCATATATAGATTTTAAAGAATGACGTGATATTTCTCAATGTGTGGTGATGATCTATCATAAATTCTTACGACTCTCGAATGTTTTTCTCGTGAAATCAGGTGATCATAACTATGAGGCAAGGTGCAATATATATAGGAAAAAAGATAACTCTTGTTGATTTCTTGAAGGACACTCCAACATAACTGGGCTCTTGCGCTAATAGGCAAGACGCAAATACGAGCATAACAAGTTGTGCGGTAAATACTAAAGAACTCCAACGATTTTGGGACTTCTTACTATAATATGCTGCCATAAAATAAATTTTGGCTAGCTACTATTTCCAGGTAGCTAGATTCCTTTGCTGAGTAGGATTCCTTCACGACATATGATGGACCAAGTGATGCAGCACATGCCCCAACAGTATGATGACGGACAAGATGCTACAGCTCTACTTTAACACAAAACAGATAGACTACGACAACATCTAAGACATGTTTGTTCATAAAAAATAATGCCAACAGGAGTCACAAAAACTCAACCAATATAGTACTTAGAGATGACAACACCTAGAACTAACAAAAAGGGCACGTAGTTTTAGTGATATGATGACCTTAGAAAATGTGTTGTTTGCCTCTCAACTTCTTGAGAACAATCGATATATTGTTTGCTTCACTAACAAAGTTTATGTGATACACGATTATATTCTACCTTGAAGATGATGATTTGAATGGGTGAAAAACTTAGGGGACTTTACTTTTCTAAGGAGACAACAACTGACAAAGTCTACACTGCGAGAGAAACAAGCAATGTGGACACGTGGAACAAGTATTTGAGCCATCTTTTCCATGTTGTTGACAAACTTCTTCCGTAAGTATCTTCCATTAAAAGTCTTTTTCTGATATTCTATATGGTGTTTATTTCTAATCTAAACACTGTCGTACTATTTTTCCAATGATTTTCATAAATTGAATACTCCTTCCGTTGCAAATCTTTCTTTTCATTTTGACTTACGCGATGAGCGTTTTTTACTTTGACAATGAATTATGGTAAAAATATATTGAACTATGAAATAAATTTAATAGTAATAGATTCATTTCGACACTTAGTTTGAAATTTCATATTTTTATATTCTATAAATATATATAAATTATGATACTAATGGTCAAAGTGTTGTATTGGAGACCGTGAAAAGTGAAATAAAGATAAAGATATGAGATGGAGGGAGCATATCATTTTCGTTAATTCAGTGTAAATTATGCTTATCACACCTCATCTCGTACATGCGCCTCTTACTTTTTTACAATTATAAAAACATGAGTCTTATTTAAATTTTTTTCTCTCCTTTTTATATTAGCTTTTTCTTAAAACCTTGTGGTCGAGTAACATATTTTCTCAGTCCCAAATTAATCTTTCTACTTACTCTTTACGATTGTTCCAAAATAAATTACTCATTTCTTAAAAGGAATAGAATACATGATCCACATTGATTTCATTCATTTCTGTAAATCTTGATCAAACAATTTTATTTTTTTAAAATAAATGGAAAGGCAAACAAAAAAATTAATTTGGGATGGAGTGTGTTGCGTGTTGACTCTCTTTGTTAATAAGTTAAAAAAATTCTTATGGTGTGTTTGGGAACTCGAATTTGGATTTCAATTCCAGATCTGATCCAAATTACTTGTTTGGGAACACAAAAAATTTGGATTTGGACCAAATTCTTCTAATTCAAATTCAACTTTTTTCTAATTCAAAACTTGTAATTAAAAATCAATCTTCCCTTCTATAATAACTATTGCATACATATCAACCCGCATTCGTCATCTTCTTTGCCGACTTCAAAATTCAAATTCTAGAATTGAAATTCTATGACTTTCCAAATAACATTTGGAATTTGAAATTATGAAATTATGGAATTTCAAATCTTAGAATTAAAATCTAATATTTCAAATGAAATCCACCTACCAAAACTTAAACTAATGGTTTGTGCCTTGTGGCACCAACAATATTTACCTGCCTTTAGTTGTAAGGTGTAAAAAATGGACGGCGATTCCACAAATTTTCCATTTTTTTCGTGATACAAAGAGGGAAGAGGGGGAAAAGTTATATGGTCAAAGCACACGATGAAGGCTTGGTTACAGAGACGGAACCCTGGCGGCAGCTGAACCACGGCGGCGCACAGAGTCTCATATCAACTGAGCTCCGGCAAAGCCAGAGACGAGCCGCTTCAATTGAACTCCTGTGTTAACTCCGATGGAAAATATAAATTCGTGTTCCCCCGAAGATTTATGAGGTTTTTTTTCTTATTGTGAGATATTTTTCTGTTCAACTTGTGTTAGTTTCTTGTTTACGATCTGTGTTTCGTTCGTATGTTCGTTTTACAGACGAAAAGAAAGATACCTAGTATGAAAGCAAATTATCTTCGTTCTTTTCTCAGATGTGGTAAAAATTACTTTATTATCAGGGCTTTAATATAACATTTAGGAACACATAATTTTGAGTTTTGTGCATTCTTACAAAATACTGAACTATGCTAGAGGTGAATATGGATTAGGTGGTTAGCTCAATTAGGGTCTTTCTTACTGTGTTCATTTCATGAAAGGTTGAAGCTTTATCTAGATATTTTAGCCTCATAGTTGATTAATTAGCTTGAAAATCGCATTTTTGTAGGAATTTTGTAAGGACTCTCGTCTGACTTTTGCTGCGTCTTTTGGTGAGTTGTATTATTTGTAGCTGGAATGACATTTCTCTGTGTGGGCTTTTTTTTGTAGTAGTAGACTGTCAGTTATAAACCTGGTGAAAGGTGGTACTTTGGGGATCAAAGTGATTGAAACTTGTGTCTGTGTGTGGTCGATTGGGAAGCTTTGCTGTAATGGAGCAAGGTACAGCTTCGAAATTGGCTCAACCATCCGGACCTGTTGATAAGTCAAGGGTGTTGGTTGTAAAGCCTTTAAAATGTTTAGTACCTGTATTTCCATCTGCGGGTGGGATGTCACACATTGGATCTCCACAACCTTCACCCTTTGTATGTGTTCCTCCAAGTGGCCCATTTCCTCCCGGAGTGGCTCCCTTTTACCCATTTTTTGAACACAACTCCGGAAGAAAAGCAGCAGAAAATGGAAGTACTGTGAGATCAAAGAGGACCACTAGAAAGGTGGTTGCAAATGGTGATAATGAATCCCATAACCCGAGTGACTCTGGTGTACCTGTTAATGATGATGAGGGCAGAACGGGAGGAAAAAAGAGTAAATCTCAAAAACGGGTGAGGAAAACGATTGAGATGGATGACAAGGCTCTTGAAGTGTATTTTGAACCACTGCTAAATAATCTTATTGAATCCTTCAAACTAACTGATTTGGATACATATAAGAAAAATGATGGTGACAAAGAAACCGTTTGGCGCGTATTGTTGACTTATAATTTATTAAGAAGAAAGATGTCCCAATTGGATGAGAAGAGGGAGCCAACTACTGGAGGCAGGCGCTCAGATCTGAAATCTGGGACAATGATGATGGCAAAGGGGATTCGTACAAATGTTACAAAGAGGATTGGGAATGTACCCGGGGTTGAAATTGGTGACATCTTCTTTTTCAGGATGGAGCTATGTTTGGTTGGAGTCCATGCCCAAAGTATGGGGGGTATAGATTACATGAGTGTCAAATTATCTCAGTACGAAGAACCTCTTGCTCTCAGCATCGTATCGGCAGGAGGGTATGATGATGAGGGGGATGATGCAGATGTTCTGATTTACACAGGCCAGGGTGGGGTCCAAAGACGGGACAAACAAATGTTTGATCAGAAACTTGAAAAGGGAAATCTTGCTTTGGAGAAGAGCCTGCATCGTGGCAATGAAGTCAGAGTTATAAGGGGCTTAAAAGATCATATGACTCCAGGTGGTAGGGTTTATGTGTATGATGGTTTGTACAAAATTCAGGAGTCGTGGGCAGAGAAAAACAAATCTGGATGGAATGTTTTCAAGTACAAATTGGCCAGAGTCCCCGGGCAGCCTGATGCATATAACTTGTGGAAATTAATTCAGCAATGGAAGGATGGTGTTGCTGTACGGGATGGGATCATCCTGTCAGACCTAGCAGCTGGAGTGGAGAATCAACCTGTTTGTCTTGTCAACACTGTTGATGATGACAAGGGCCCTGCTCATTTCACATATACCCGAACTCTCAAGGACCCTAGACCCTTTTTAATGCCAAAACACTCTTTGAGCTGCAATTGCACGCGTGGATGTGAACCTGGTGACCCCGACTGCCCTTGTCTTGAGAAAAATGGAGGCTTTATGCACTATAGTCCACTTGCGGTTCTCTTGACCTACAAAGATGTCATACAGGAGTGCGGTCCGTCCTGTTCATGCCCTCTCAGTTGTCGAAACCGAATGTCACAATCCGGTCTCAAGGCCCGTTTGGAGGTCTTCAAAACAAATAATAGAGGATGGGGACTTAGGTCGTGGGATCCTATACGCTCAGGGGGTTTTATATGTGAGTATGCAGGAGAAGTCATTGATGCATCTAGGGCAGGTGAATATGGGAGCGAAAGTGGTGATAGTTATATGTTTGATGCCACTCGCAGCTATCCTCCCCTAGAAGTTGTGCGATTTGGTCAGGATCACTCTCCGAAAATTCCGTTTGCCCTTGTTATTAGTGCCAGAAGCTATGGAAATGTAGCTCGTTTTATGAACCATAGTTGTTCACCAAATGTCATGTGGCAGCCTGTTATACGTCAGAACAATGACGAGGCATACTACCATATTGCCTTCTTCGCCATCAGCCACATTCCTCCTATGCAGGAGTTGACTTTCGATTATGGACTGATCCCATCAAGTAGAGCAGCAGATCGCAGGAGGAAGAGGTGTTTCTGCGGATCACAAAACTGCAGAGGGATTTTTTACTAGGGGATTGTAATCCTATCATCCCATGCAAAAGGGTTAGTAACACCTTTCCTTTAAATTTCTGGTACGTATCTTGAATGAACAACACTGGCAGGAAACTCATGACCTTTTAGCTTAGAATTGATATACTTTTAGTGCTAAAATGACTCCCTCTGTTCTATATAAAGAGTCCACTTTGATAGTTTGATGAGTATGCAACCTTTTTACTTTAGTAATGTACAACTTTTACAAATCACTAAATATGCCTATATTCTTAAAAAGTAGAGGAAAAAAAAGAGAAAAGTACTCTCTATGTCTCATAAAAAATGGCTTTCTAATCTTAGGAAGGTGTAACCATTAGAAACCATCAAATATAAATGTTGTTTATTAGTGTCATTTTCTTAACCAAAGTGTTTGTGAGGTTTTTAAAAATAAAAAAACATCAAATCGGATGAAATTTAGCTTGTTTTGCTCAAGCATTACTCTTTGGGTCAAATATCTTATGAAACATGACTCTTATCATACAGCGGGAGTATTAATTTGGAGCTAAAAAGTGATCTGTAGCACCGAGACCGTCTCACATGATTATTTGTGCTGTAGCAAAAATTTAGAACTTTGAAATGCTTTTGATTGATACCATTTTTTGCAGATTTAAGAAAAGCGATCCAGCTGCAATGCCCCCAAATAAAACCCAAAGGTTGTTTGTGGCAGTAGCTTGTAGATTCGAGGGGGGCTCTATATGTATCTTGTGTAACTTTTTAAATTATAAGGATCTAATGTGCACTCTATTATCGCCCAGTAGACTTTGCAAGACCAATTTGGTATTCTCATTTTTTTTTTCAGGATTTGTGTTCTTTGCTACTCTAGTTTGTTGAGAACCCAGGTTTCTTTTCATCATGTATTTATGCATGCATGTATGTATGTAACGTGATAATTATGAGTATTGATTTGCTAAGAATCCCATGTTTTAGTTCTTGTCTAGGATAGAGATGGATTTAAGCCAATCTACAATGGATGTCTGAATTCCACTGCGCTGCATGATGCCCGCCGTGTCGGGCTACCGTTGCAGGTGATCGGAGGAAATTCAGCCGCGGTGCTCAGCCGGTTGCAAAACCCGGCAATTTTGGATGGGTGGCCGCCCATTGTGACGGTCCACCGCTGCCGGGTTGAATTTATTTATTTTTTTTAAATTTTTCAGCCGACAAAGTCTGCGTACACACACCTACTGTTGTGGGATTCACCTGGGTTGTTGTTGTTGTTGTTGTTTCAGCCGGCATTGCAACGGGCCGCGGTGCGGGAGTTGGTATATGGTACATTCGGATGTACTTAGAAATAGGTACATCCAGGTAGTACTCATTCTGAAATATAGTACTCATTCTCGTACAAATATAAACATTCATTTCAAAATACGTAGTACTCATTCTGACAAAGGTAGTACTTATTTTAAAATAAAGTACTCATTTTTACACATTTGTCTAATATAATTATAATAAATAGCGTAGTGTTCATTCTTAAAAAAACAGTACTCATTCTCAAATAAGGAAATGTTCACTCTGAAATAAAGTATTGTTCAATTTTTTCACAATTAAAAAGTTCAGTACCATCATCAACTTTTTCATCCATACCCTTTTCGTTGGATCTTCCTCTATTCGATTCGTTCCTACTCATTTATACTCTCTGAGAATGGAGAATTTAAAACCTAGATTTATTCTTGTTTGTATTGAATAAGAATATGATAATTCTCATAAGTGCTGGTACTTCTTCTCAAATCTGCTGGTACTCATTGTCATATATAATAGTTCTCATATATGTTGTGGGCATTGGATAAAAAGTTTGCAAAAAATTTACAAAAATACCAGGCTGTACCTAAAGGAAGGTACATCTGGATGTACCATATAATTTGCCGTAGTGCGGCTCTTTTTCTTTCCAGCGTGGCGATTTTCAGCCGTCCATTGCAAGTGACCTAATTCCATCGGGTCTCACAACACCGGGCCTGTGAGCACACTTTCTTTTTTGGACAATCTAGATAATGTTCTCATTTCATTTCTTGAAGGGCAAGTATGGTTCATATTATCTTTCTTCTCATCATACAATTTTACATGTCTTGAATCCCATTCAAATCCAAAGTTAGGACATTATATATGATTTAAAGGAGCAATTGATAAATTTTGTGTATAACATAATATGTTTGGGGAATATTTTTGTAGGATTATAAATGTATCCCATGTGTGTGTACAATATATATTTTTTATCAAAGGGGAGGGGGTCAAGGGAACCTCAAAACTTGCATGTTCAAGAAGAAGTTTTCCATCTCGACCCTCCCTCTATACTTTTTGCCTCCTTAACTTATTTTTATTATTTATTATTTATTTTTATTAGAGTCAGATTAGATTAGAAACAATTTTAAATAAAACTACAATCAGATCAGATTAAATCACTTTTTAATTTATTTTAATCATATCAAAGCTAATCAAATGAAGTGAATAAAAGAAGCCCTAAATGTCATCAATCATGTCACGTAAGTTCTCCAAGTGAATTATGGCCACTCAACTTTTTTTCTTCATCTGTATCCATGTCTAAATTTTAAGTTCTGAACTCCTTTTTTCTTAAGCCCACTGAGTACTTCTAGTAATAGCCTTTACTTCGACTGATGTTGTGCAAATTTAAAGGAATTATTCCTTACGTCCAAAGAAAGTGTCAAAAAGAATTCTATCTTTTTATTTCCAAAATAGAGGTTACAATGCTTCTAATATCAATATATATTACAAAAAATACTATGAAATGTCAATATATACGCAAATTATATCCTACAACCGGCTGTACGGAAATAACCGTACAGCCGGCGAAAATTAGCAGAGTCGCACTATCCGACGATAAACAAAGAGACGGGTGATGGCGAAACCAAACTGCTTCTATTGGAGAACGAAGGAGCACATTGGTAGCAAACCCTAGTTGCATTGATCGGAGAAGGAAGGGAGCACTACAAAAGAAGCCTGGTTGAGATTGATTGTGGATGAAGATGAAGAAGGCGAACCCTAATTTGCCAAAGATGAAGATGCCTTGGTCGAGATTGATCGTGGATGAAGATGAAATGTGGGGTCGAGATTTACCGTCTTAGATGGATGCGATGTAGTTGGGAGTATGTAAGCTCAATTAAACTTTTGGATTATATTTTCTAAATTTAAAGGGAATAACTCATTCTTACTTGAGAATGAACACTACGTTATTTGAGAATGAGCACTACTTTATTTCAGAATGAATACTACGTTATTCATAAATGAATATTATAATTATATTAAACAAATGTGTAAAAATGAGTATTGCATTAATTTAGAATGAATATTACGTTATTTCAGAATGAGTACTACATTATTCAAAAATGAACACTTATGTTTTGTGTGAGAATGAGTACATCCTTATTTTAAAGTGAATACTTTGCGTTGTACCTTACTTCTGGTACAACTGGTTGTACCATATACGGACTCTAATGTATATCACCATCCCAACTTCTATTTTGTTATTTTGTTTTAAAAAAGAGTAAATTCTCAAAACGATCCTTTCTAATAAAGTGTTTTCCTCAATTAGTCCTCAATAAACAATAATTATTGATATATATTTCTTAAATAGTCTTCTATAAAAAATATTGATTAAATGATAGTTAAATGGAGGATATTTTTGTATTTTTATCATCTAAACTATGAATAAGTCCTCAATATGGTCCATTCAAATAAAGCAGGTAGTTGCTAGAGTAACTGACCCACCTTCAGTAGGCTAATGGACTCCATTTTAGGAAAATATTTATTTAGAAATTATCAGTTTGAAAAATACTTAATTATAAAGAAGCATTGGAAACGAGTCAAAGACCCATCGGGGTCTGTCTTCGACCCCAAATTCTAGCATTTAGCCCATCAAATTTATCATTCAATTCTAATTCCATATATTCTTGTGTTGCCAAACAGTAGAATTGAAATTGAGATCTTCAATTCTAATTTTAATTATTTTTAAAAATTTGGTTATTTTAAGAAAATGTCAATAAAATCAACATCTTATTTAAAAAATGAACAAACTACAAAATGAAATTAGTCAAGACAACGAAAATGAAAGAAAAAATAGTAAAAAGCGCCCGCTTTCTCGAAAATGGACAATCTTACAAATTATATTAATTATGATTATTTCTTTTTACGACTAGATTAGATACACTCTGTCACTTCTCTTTAGTTTGATATAGATGATAAAAATATCAAAATACCTTCTATTTGATCGATATTTAATAGACATTTTGGGAAGAGGACTATTTAAAAATATATCTCCATTACAAATGACCATATTAATAATTATTACTTATCTAGAACTGATTTGAGAAATCAGCCACCATTTGTGAATGGAAAATACTAGAGTTACACCCACATAGTTCACAAATTTCGCAAACCTGCCTTTCGTAGTTTTTAAATTAAAATATCTTTTATTATTTGGGTGTATCTAATTTCTAGGAAAATATTAAAAAAACAAGTTTGTGAATTTCATGAGCTATTTGTTCATGACTCTAGTATTACTGTTTGTGAATTCATCCTAAAAAACTCCACCTCTTTTGTTTTCACTGGCTGTGATGCGGGTGGACATTGCATAATTGGCAAGACAAATGGTGCAAGGGAGTAAGAAGTGAATTAGATTCGTGACAACTGCTCGGAGAAAATTATGCTAAAGAACAAGTAGGGAGTTCAATTTAGTGATCGTCCGGCCGGCCGGTCAGGGGCCTGAATGGGAGTCATCCTTTTTTCACTGGGTGTGACTGGAAACGACACCAGTCTCCCCCACAGCGATCAACACTGTGGACGACCGCCGGCGATGCTGTCACTGTTGACCACCACTCTCGACTACTGTCATTGGTCGTCACCGGAGTCGCCGACTATGATAAACGGTCCGGACATATGTGAGACGACCGAGCATTATAAGAAGCACGGTCTGCCTTGGCTTGTTGAGAAAGAGCTAGAGAGGGAAGGGAAGTGTCAATTTTTGAATTGAATTATGTTGGGAGGATTTGGGGGAGGGAAAAAGCTGGTAAGAGAGAGAAAGGGACAAGGAAAGATACATTTCCTTCATCAATTTCCCCCCCCCCCCCACCCTTATAACCCTATTCTCTCAAATTTTACCACCCAATCGACCACGATTTCAATTTCTCCATTCTATTTGCCATGAAAATGCATTGTTTTGCACGATCGAGGGTCTGATTGTGATGATGAACGGCGTTAAAACTCTGGAATTGCCTCCTCCCACGGCCCCTCCCAAGAAGAGGCTTTATCAACTTTGGAAGGGTCGAAATGTAAGCCCCTTTTTGCATTTTTCTTCTCTTTTCTTGATTTCTTTTCCCCATTTCAATTAACCATGCATTTTTTTTTGCTTTGAATTCGGATGTGCATAAAAACAAGCAGGCAGATAAAGTGTCAACCTTTTGTTTGCATGATTTATGTTTTCCATTGTCTCAATAGTTTCTTCTGTCTCTGCTGGGCTTATCTTTGGCTGTTTTCAACATGGTGCTTTCTTTGTAATATCTTCTTCAGGCGATCACTTTGTTTCTGTGGACTTCATATTGGTTGAAGTGCAATAGTTCATGTTACTTTGATTGCAACTGGTACATGAATAATGAGAGAGAGGGGGGGGGGGGTCTTTTAATCTTTTTATCTCTTTTATCTGGAATAACTCCTCATTTATGTTCTCTTTGGAGAAATTTGCACAAGAAGCATGCATTTAGTGGTTGGCTTGATCACTTTCTTGAGTGGGGCTGCAAAGCGTTGATGTCCCGATTTTATTAAATCAATAAATCTTTCATTGCCTGCACATGTCAAGTAGAGATATGAATGGGAAAATTTGCTACTTAGTATGTGGACGATAATAACATACACAAACTTTATTATTTCAGAAGTTCCTTTGTGGTGGGAGATTGGTCTTTGGTCCAGATGGAGCCTCGATGATTTTATCAACTTCTCTAATAGCGGCCCCTGCATTAGTGTTTTGTTTCAAAATGCTCCATAGGATTTCTGAAGTAGATCCATTACGTGTCCGTGTTGTTCCAACTGTTGGGTTCATCCTCACAATGTTGGATTTGAACTTTCTCTTCCTTACATCATCTAGCAATCCAGGAATAGTCCCTAGGAACTCGAGACCCCCTGAGGATGAGGGTAGTACAAAGTCGATGGATTGGGTTAACAATTCATACGGTGACATAAAAATGCCAAAGACAAAGGACGTACTTGTCAACGGCCATTCAGTTAAAGTGAAGTTCTGTGACACATGTTTGCTATATCGTCCACCACGCGCCTCTCACTGTTCAATTTGCAACAACTGTGTTCAGAGGTTTGATCATCATTGTCCATGGGTTGGTCAATGTATCGGGGCGGTAAGCTTATTTCTTTCTTTCTTGCTTGCTTTCTTTATTATTAACTAAATGTAATTGCATTAAGCCTCATTTTCCAATGGAGCTAAAAGTGTCTTTATTGATAACGTTTTTGCTTTGAGTAAATAATGGACTAAATTAAAGTGGCAGATTAAGCTTCATTTACTTCTTCTTTCACATGAAAGCTTTTTTTCATAAATGTGTCAAGGGTCTAATGGTAACCGACTCTTTAATGATTTAATGGAGGGAGGTTGTGTACATCTTGACTCAAGACACCGATCAAGTTGGGATACTGATTTCGTTGTTGTTTTTGATGTTGTTGTTGTTGTTGTTACTGCTGCTGTCCATATAATTGCATTTCCTTGCAAGTAATGTGAAATATATTAAAAATTCCTTTACTTCCTCATTTTTAATTTTGTGAATCAAAGCTTGTTAGGCATTGAGCGCTTGTGTGTGATTTTTGTTATTTTCTATACTTATTCGGGATATGATTCATCATTTTGTGTTCTTTCACTTCTTTGTATGGTTAGTGGTTTCCAATTTGGAGGAAAGCTCTTTTTGGGCTTTCAAAAGTTAACGACTTACTGGCATGCGTTTCTGTATCAAATAACACTTTTTAGAAATTATAATTATGGATTTATGGAATAACTCCCTTTTTTCATTATTTCAAAAAGCACACTAACATGTGTTTTTTTGTATGAATTTGGCTGCAGCGTAACTATAGGTGCTTCATCCTGTTCATAACAACATCAACAATCTTGTGCACATATGTTTTCACATTTTCATTGTTGAACCTCCTTCAACAGCCAGGTGGCAGCACATGGAGTAAGATGTCAAGTGATATGGTCTCATTTACTTTAATCATTTACTGCTTTGTCGCTGTCTGGTTCGTTGGTGGCCTAAGTGTTTTACACTTTTACCTTATCTGTACTAATCAGGTTTGCTACTTTCTCTAATTTAAGTCTTTTAAAATAGAGTTAGATGGAAACTTATATTCACGGCAATTCTTCCTTAATTTTCCCAACACATATTTTCATGAAAAACTGCACATGAATACTCCAAGAAATGTGCAAATTTACTTTAATATTAAGAACTTCAACAAATGACACCACTATACCCTGAAATTCCACATCTTACAGCTAATTCCACATTTTAAATGGCAATTAATATGTATGAGCTGGGCAACTAAAAAACCTTGAAATAGTAGTTGAAATGCGTTATAACTAGTTACCGTGTTCCAGTTTTAAACAGACAAGGGCTCTAGTTATAATGCATTTAAGGTTTTTTTCTTAGTTGTCAACCCATACTTATTAATTGCCCAGTCAGCATTTAAAATGTCACGTATTTTGCTTAATTGGCAGCGATGAAGTAACGGTGTAAAAACGTGGGATTTCTGGGAGCAGTGGTGTCATTTGTTGAATTTTGGAGAATTAACGTAAAATCACGCATTTCTTGGAGTATTCATGTGAATGTTTCGTGTATTTATTTGCAGACAACTTATGAAAACTTTCGTTACCGGTATGATAAGAAGGAAAATCCATATAACCGGGGGATCATGAATAACCTAAAGGAAATTCTTTTCTCAAGGACAACACCAGCATTGGTCAATTTCCGAGAGTGGGGGATTGAAGATGAAGATTCGGTGATGAGCAGCTCCTTCAGTCATAAATTTGGTGGAATAAACTCGCGGGGAAAATTTGACCTGGAAGTAGGAATACTTAGGAAGGATGATATCTTCCAAAGTTTGGATTATAAAGGAGTTGATCAAAAGGAAAAGAGTGCCGGTTTCTTTGTATTTGATCCTTTTCTGTATTCCGCTTCCACAGATGATACGAAAGGTACTCAAAAGGGTAATGTGGAAGGTGGCAAAACTGAGGAAGCTGCTATCTTCAACAGATCTTCATCAAAAACTCAACAGTCTCTCCTAAATAAAGGTAACATTCTGCATAAGCATCTAGGATTTTAGGGTTTGATTTGTTCTTCTCCCAAATTTCAATTTGATTTGTTTAACACTGGTTGGGGAAATGATTTTCGAATTAAATCCAAACGAATCCGTTACCTCCTTCGTCCCAATATTAAAGTCTCATACTCTTATTTTGATTTCACACTTTTTATGGCAAAGTGTAAAAGTTTGTTGGCTCTCCCATCTTGCCCTTAAAAAGTGAAATTGTTAACGAGGGTAGGAAAGAAATGGAGGGTGGGTAGAAAAATGTGAATGAAAAAGTTGGGATATTATAGTAGTATTTTTAGTGTGTTAAGTATGCCAAATATGGAATTGAGACTTTAATTTTGAGGTAGTTTTGTTTTGGGTTTAGTGTTTTTGTTTGGACTTGGTTCACATTAACTCGGCTTTGAAAAAAACAGTACCAAACTAAAGCCGAATTGACATGGATAGTTCAGTTTGGGTTTAGGATTTCTATTGCTTTTTGGAATGGTTCTGCCTTTCTTTCTTTGGCTTGATTTTAATCGTTTTCATTTTGGTTCAGATTAACACAGTTGTAAAAAGCTTAGCTACATATGGTTTTGGGTTGTATGGTTCGAAATTTTTCCATCCCTGAGTTTTCCTTGCATAAGCTTCCAAATTTACTTGGAAATATTTACACCAATACTCCCAAATTTGGCCTATTATACAATATCACTCTGAGATTCTCTTTTGTGCGCCAATACTTCGAGAAATCACCGGATTTCACATCGCTACTCTTACCCGACTCAGTCAACTTCGAACTTAATTACATGAAATTATTTTGGATGACATGTCATTAGAAATATTAAGTTGACCACACATTAAAAGTAATGGAATTAAATTAGATATCATTTGGACTCTTTCGAACAACTTAATAAAGGAAACCTAATTGAACTTGGTGAAATCGTTGTCTTCAAAAACATTATCAAGTTATTCACAAAAATCCAAATGATGTTTAATGTTATTCTATTACTTTACATGTGCTGACAACTTATTGTTAGAGATATCAAGTTAGCCAAAATACAACAAAATTAAGTCCCGAGCCAGGTTGGAATAGCGATGTGAAATTTAGTGATTTCTCGGAGTATTGGCGTGCAAAAGAGAATCCAGGAGTAATATTATATTTCTTTAGTGGCAGGAATATTGTATAATAGACCAAACTTGCGAGTATAGGTGTGAATTTTTCCGATTTACTTCCCATGTGTACTAAAAGCACGGCTCTAAGGGTCTCTTTGGAATATGGGCTTTGGACGTGAATGCTTTAGATAGCTTAGTATTTTGATGTATGTTTGAAATGTTACCTTAAAAAAAGTTGAAACATTTACATTTCAATTAGTTTTCGTACATTTAAATAAATGTTCCATTTATCAAGATATAAACTATGTCCTCATTTAATCCCGTCATCCAAACACATCCTAAAAGTCTTTGCCTAGACATGTCTCCCTTAACTTTATATTTTCTGTAAAATACAAAAAAACTGGAACTTTGGTTTTATGAATGTGAATGCAGAGGCCCTTGTTGCTGGAGTGGAATGAGTGTTCATCAGCTATGGATCTGGAATTAGCAATGCCCCAATTGCACAATGGGAATGTGAACAAAATGATGATTCCTTGTAAGATATTAGTTGAAAATCCTCCTCTTTTTTAAAGAAAAAAAAACCATTTTGTTCTTTCTCATCCATGATCCATCATGTAATTGTTATGAGTAATCTTTGAGCTCTGAACTTGAAGTTTCCTTGAGTTTTTTTGGATGGGGTATAAATGAGAGTAAAGCTTCGTTTGGGAATAGTGTTTGGAATTAGTGTTAGCAATTAGCATTTTACTTTGTAGGGCGTAGACAACTTTTTAATGGTACAGATTATCGTGAGTATAAAGTTTTTTATGTATAAATTAAAGAAATCATTTTAGTAAAAATTCTATAAATTTGTAATAAAAAATTGTGTACACGTTCCAAAAGCTATACAAACTGTCAAGCTATACAATGGGGTATACAATTACATGCACGGTTAAATGTTTTTGGTCCCTATAAATACCGTAGTATGGAATTTTTGTTTTGGGTCTTTGTAAATTTTTTTGAGTAAAATTTCATAAAAAGTCCCAGTTATAGGTCGTTTACATATTTAGTCCATACATATCAAATATTACTAATTTAGTCCTTAATTATTATGTTCATTTTCACGAATGGTCCTTTGTAAACATTTCCGTTAAGACTGCAGATAAAATTGTAAGTTCACACTTTTTTCTTTCCTCAATTAAACTTCCTCCCTCCCCTCACACTCCTTTCACAAACCCGTAGCTGAGTTTGAAGCTTTGAACCCAAAACCGTAATCATCACTCTTCTCTAAATTATTTGTCTAATTGGTGGAAACCAAATTTGAAACTAGTAACCTTCATGGATGAGTTTTAATGTTTATTTTCTTTACAATTTCTTGAGACGAACCGAAAAAACTCATCCATAAAGCTTATTGGTTTTGATTTTAGGTTCTACCAGGAAGATTAATGATTGAGAGAGGAATGATCATTTCAGTTTTGGGTTTAGAGCTTCAAACTCAGCAACGAGTTTGGGAAGGAGTACGAGAAAAAGGAAGAAACTTAATTGAGGAGAGAGAGAAGTATGAATATACAATTTTATCCATGTTCTTTAAAAAACGTTAACAAAGGACCATTTGTAGAAAATGATATAATAATTGAGGACTAAATTAGTAATATTTTATATGTATGGACTAAATATGTAAAACGACCTATAATTGGGAAACTTTTATGAAATTTACTCTTTTTTTGTTTAAGTCATTCTTACAATTTTTGTTAAATGGTTCTTAATTGTAATTAGGATTTCTAATTTGTTGAGATAACAGACTTATTTTGTACTCAACATTTTAGGCTATCATTCTAGGGCTGGGTTAAGAAAACCGAAAACCGAACCGAAACCGATCGAAACGAGCTAGAAAAAAAACCGAACCAAATCGATTCGAATCGAATAAACCGAACTTTATTAGATACTTCGCTTTATTTATATGAACATATGTGATATGTAGAAAAATCGTAGAAATATAAATGTCAATAAATTACTAGTCGATTAAAATTATTTTCTTAATTATTAATTAAACATTTTAGCCATATTTCTATAAACTTTAAAAAAACCTAAGGATATAAATACCAATAGCTAATCCTAATATAGAATTATATTAACATTGAGAATTGATACGAGTAATTTACATATTTACATTGAAAAAATACTTTGATGTTATAATGAAAATGAAAGTATTATACCAAAAAACACTAATTTTTCGTAATTGATTTTACATATGATGTCTTTAGAAGTATTTGGAATCTCCTAAATGTTTGTTGGACACTTAACACATACTCTCTCTGTTTTAGTGTATTTGTCTAGTTTGACTTTTTTGAGTCAAACTGGACAAACTTTGAGCTTAAATTAAATAAAAAGGTAATGTATTTTAACATAAAAATGACTTTATTGGATTTATCGTACTTAGAACTTTCAAAATTGTATTTTATTATGCTAATATGAAATATAAATTGAAAGTAATTTGAGTTCAAAGTTTGTCCAGTTTGACTAGAAAAAGTCAAACTGGACAAATATACTGGAACGGAGGTAGTATCTTTTATGTAAAATTGAACCGAAAGAAACAATAACCTTTCTTTTGGTTTTTGTTTTTGTGCAAAAATCAAACCAAAAAACCAAACCTAACACCACATATTGTTATTACTTTATCGAGCTAGTATTTTTACAATTTTTTAATGCTTATAAATTTTTACTTTCATAAACTGAAAAAATCGAAAAAAACCGAAATAAAAACCGTATAAAATCGAATCGAATAACCAACAATTTACATAATTTTTATGCAAAATCGAACAGAACCGAACTGCCAATTTATCTTCCATTTTGTCTTTGGTTTCTAATAAAAACCAAACCGCCAAAACTGAACCCACCCCTAATCAATTCTAGACCTGGCAAAATAGACTCAGAACCGGTTATCCGAACCGAGTGATCCGAAACCGAAATTAAAATGATCCGAAAAGTGAAGATCGATCTGATTTATAATCGAATAACCGAAGTGATCCGAAGGAAAACCGAACTAAATATATTCATACTAGATTGAAATTGGAAACGGATTAGATCCGACTAATTAGATCTAAAACTGGTTAAATCCAAAACCGATAAGGCCCGAAACTAATAAGATTCGAAACCGATAAGAGCCAAAACCCAATAAGACCCAAAATCGATTATATCCGAAATTGATTATACCTGACAATAAATATGTTATATTTATGTACATTAGTGAACAATTACATTAATATGATTTCAATTTTTTAGTTGTATTTTACCATCTGAACTAGTTATATAATTATATTACTTACCCTCTATGTCTAAAATGAATTACCATATCTAAACAAAATGAAAAATTTCATAGGTTTTAAATTTATTATTTTTTTAAAAAATTGGTTTAAAACGAATAATACAACTTACATAAAAAATGTTAGTTAAAATTTATGCAAACTAAAGCATGGTTAAAAATATTTTTTCACCCCCTCTCATGCAGTGGTTAAAAATATTTTTTTCCAGTCCCGTCTCATGCACTATTGTGTGGTTGGTCAAGCATGTGTTTGGAGTTGCATTTAATTTTACTTAAATTTTATCTAATTACATTCAATTTCATTCAATTTCAACATATTTTAACCAAATTATATGTAATTTGGTAATCTAATTATATTTATTTTATATCGAAACTAGATATACTTTTTCTTTCATACTTCAAAACTCAAATTTATAAAAGATGACTAAAAAATAACAATATAAGATATTTAATTAGGACGAAGGGGCTATAAAATAATATGAGTTGATGCATTGATAATATATTCAGAAATGCGATATAACAAAAAATAAACCTATAATTAAATTTTAATTCGAAAATAACATATGTACAAATATATCTGAAACTATATACTCAAACCGAAATATATCGGAATCGAAATATATCTGAACTGGAATGTATCCGAAACCAAAATTAATTCGAACCGATTGACATCCAAACCAAATTTGAACTGACTCGGAACCAAACCGGAACTGAAAAATGTTTGGAACCGATTTAAATCCAAAGCGAATTTAAATCGAATTGATCCGAACCGAACTAATTATAACGTATATCCGAAAGATATCTGTATCGAATTAATCCAAATCAGAATAGATTGCCACCACAAATCATTTCCATTCACCTTAGACACAAATCTAATGCTTTAGATTGTGTCATTCATCAAACTATATCCCCAATGCCTAAAATTTATTACTACATATGTTATATTCTTACGAAATTTGGGAACTCAGAATGTAATATGAACAATAAGACAATTTAAGGCATGAGAACTGTGTTAGAGATGATTATAAATACAAGCCAAGGCTTCGAGTGTAAAATAAATGTTGGAATTTTTGGCATTTTTAATAGGCATTAAATGGACCAACTTGGGTATATTTATCAATAGGTCCACTAACAGTTTTAACCGTTAATTAATGGACGTGTGTTCTCTTAAATGAGATAAATGTTTTGATAATTTATACGCCAAAAATGGTAGAGGGTGAATGAGAAATTGATTCTCAGAGTTAACCCGTTAATAAAAAATATGGTAAGGATTGTAATTTTTTTCAATTTTACTGAGCCAATCTTCTATTATTAATTTTATGTATTGTTTAAAATTAGTCCTTTTTACGGAGTTAACTGGCCGTAACGGACGTGTTAATGGCTAATTAATCACCATTAATACGTCATTATTGTGTCACAAATGCCATGGATTAATGGTGTAGGAGTTACACTTTTTAAAATTTCTTAGTTATAAATATCAAGGGCTCTCCATTGTTTAGTGTGGGTTTCACACGTGAGGAAGGAAAAAAAACGAAAGGGAAAACTTTCTTGTATAATTTTTAGAGAGCTCTTGATTTTCCGGCCATCTCCTTCAAAGTGTTTTGGTCGCCAACGTTCCTACGTTGTTCTTGTTCTTTGGTGTGTGGTTGATCCGTACAATCTACACACGCGATAGCGGTTTTATCCTGAGAGGAGAGTGCCCACCTTTTTCCGGTACAGTAGGCGGGCACTACTACCTTAAGGACAGCTCCGGCGACTCCGCTGTCCTTCACGGTGTTTTGTTTTGCAGGTTTAGTTCATAAAGATCTCGCTGCATTTTGCCCTAGTGCATAATGTCCTTGCTGTCCAGTGCATAACGTCCTCGATATCCAGTGCTTAATGTCCTCATACAACAAGGCTGTTTGAAGATATATAAATTTATTTTCAATTCTCTTTATCTTGTAATATTCTGAATAAGTTATAAATTCAGAATTTTATTTATTTTTATTTTCCGAGGCCGTTCATCTTCCCCGTCCGTTGTAATCCGTACAAAAGTTGTAACAATCTTAAGGTAGTAGTCATATCCGTGCACGATGGGGGGTCTGGACGGATTCAGTTTTGACACTCACACCGGAAACGGGAGTAGTTCCGAGACTCTGGTTGTGAACATTTCGGCTGGATTGGGTGGCTCTGTTGGGCAGACCACTCTGATCAACATTCCTTTTTCGGATCGAGTGCGGCCATGGGGTCCACTCTGATCACCACCTTCGTTGGATCGAGCGCGACTATGGGATCCGCTCCGGTCACCTCGGTTATTGGACCAACTGTGGCTACGGCCGCAATGGTCACCCCACTCGAACCGAATATGGCTTTGGTCATACCGGTCATTCCCTCACTTGGACCAAAAACGGGCGTCTTCACATCCGCACCG